GAGGAAGGGTGTGCTTCAGTCTTGTATTCTTTCACCATACTTATTTATTTTGTATGCTGAGCAAATAATCCAAGAAGCTGGACTACATGAAGAAGAACTCAGCATCAGGATTGGAGGAAGACTCATTAACAACCTGCAATATGCAGATGACACAATCTTGCTTGCTGCAAATGAAGAAGACTTGAAGCACATATTGATGAAGATCAAAGACTACAGCCTTCAGTATGGATTACACTGCAACAGAAAGGAAAAAATCCTCACAACTGCAGCAATGAGCAACATGCTGATGAATGAGAAAAGATTGAAATTGCCAGGGATTTCATTTTACTTGGATCCACCATCAATGCCCATAGAAACAGCAGTCAGGAAATCAAATGATATATCACTTTGGGCAAATCTCCTGCAAAAGACCTCTGTAAAGTATTAAAGAGCAAAAACGGAAGATTAAGGTGTGCATGACCCTTATTCCTTCATATGCACACAAAAGTTGGACAATAAAGAAGGAAGACTGAAGAAGAATTGATGCCTTTCAATTATGTTGTTGATGAAAATAGTGAACATACTGTACATTTCCAAGAGAACAAACAAACCTGTCTTGGAAGAGGTACAATCAGAATGCTCCTTAGAAGCGAGGATGGTGAGACTGTATTCTATATACTTTAGACAAGTTATTAGGAAGGACCAGTCTGTAAAGACGGACATCATGCTTGGTAAAGTAGAGGACCAAAGAAAAAGAGAAACACTCTCAACGAGATAGATTGATGCAATGATTGTAATAATGGACTCAAATATAGCAGTGGTTATAAGGATATTGCAGAACTGGGCAGTGTTTTGTTCTGTTGTACATAAAGTTGCTAAGAGTCAGAATTGGCTCAGGGGCACCTAGCAAAAATAGCAGGTGTATATATATAAAACCAAAATAACTAAACCCATTGCCATCAAGTTGATACTGACTCATAATGACCTGATAGGAGAGAGTTGAACTGCCCTCTAGAGCTTCTAAGACTGTAAATCTTTGTGGAAGCAGACTGCTTCATTTTTCTCCTGCTGTGCAGCTGGGGGATTTAAACCACTGACTTTTTTTTTTTTTTAATTAGCACCTGAGTGCTTTAACCACTGCATACTGATATATTTGTGTTCTTGTGTGTTCTGGTGACACGATGGCTAGGGCATTCAGCTGCTAACAAAAGGTCAGCGGTTCAAACCACTGAGCTGCTCTGTGAGAGAAAGACGAGGTAGTCTATTTCCATAAAGATTTAAGACCTTGGAAACCCTTTGAGGCAGTTCTACTCTGCCCTACAGAATTGCTAAAAGTCAGAATTGACTCAATGGCAATGGGTTTTTTGGTTAGCGTGTGTTTATCATAAACATATGCTTCACTCAAAACTAAACTCACTGCCATCAAGTCACTTCCGACTTATAGCACCCCTCCTTGGGTTTCCAAGGTAGTATCTCTACGGAAGTGGATTGCCCAACATTCCTTCCAAGGAGTGGCTGGTGGGTTTGAACCTCTCACCTTCTGGTTAGCAATGAAGTGCCTTAGGCACTACACCATCAGAGCTCCTTATATAGGCACATGCACACAAATAAATAAAATAGTGACTAAGATAAACATGATCTTGTCCCTCCTAGAGAGGGAAATATACATATGTAAAAAAAAAAAAAAAGTTAAATCATTTTAAATTCTCATAATGGTTATACAGGTAACAGATAAGATCCTAGGTAGAGCCTATCAGTATGAGATGGGGGTCAGGGAAGGTCTATCTATAGAGATGAGGTTTAAGCTGAGATTTGAAGAATGAGACAGAAACAACCATAAAGAGATCGAGAAATAGTGTACTGGGCAGAAGGAATAGCGTGTACAAAGTTAGGAGATGCAGTTGGCAGGTTTGAGAAGGAAAAGAAGGCTACCACATCTCAAGTACCTTGAGCAATAGGTGAGGGTTTCAGGAGAAGTAGGAGGTAAGAGTAATGGGCAGGGCAGCTGACTAGCGTCTGTTACGGACCTTAAAAATTAAGTCAATTTTTATAAGTCAACTCTGGTTGCTGGTCCATGAATGAACTGGCGGGGGTCATAAGTCAAAAGTGGAGAAGCTATTGAGTTTTTCCCTACAGGGAAAACGATGGTAGTTTGGGTGAAAGTTTTGTCAGTAGAGTTGGGGGGTACCTATTTGATTTGGCTTATATTTTGGAGGGAGTATTTACAGGCCTTACAGATGAATCAGATATGGTTGATTAGGGCAACTATTTAGGTACAGCTTACAAATGGGCTCCTGAGTGTGTAGCTGTACCCTTTATAAACATGGGGAAGACTTGAAGAGCATGCATGGAGAAAAAAATAAAATTTCCATTTTTAGTGTGTTAAGCTTGAGATGCTTGTGAATTATTCAGGAAGCAACATCATGTAAGGCAATTTGAGAGTCATCTGTATCTCAGTGGAGAAATTTGGGCTGGAGATAAAAGTTTGGAAGACATTCGACAGAGATGATATTTGAAGCCATGGGAATGAAATAGTAAGAGGTGTAGAGAGAAAAGAGAAGAGAAAGTTCAAACCCTAACATATAAAGAAATAGCTTCTTAGGGCCTCAGTAAGCAAAAGCACCCATTGGCTTTTCTACACCTGAGCCCTGATGCCACCAGATGGAGTTTTTGTGTGTCAGAGCATGACAATTGAAAGATAGTATGGGCTAGCCACCTTCAGAGCCACTTAGATTTCATGAATGATGTCATGGTGGGTGATGGAGCTGTTGTGTAGCCCATCCCATGGGTAGCTGAGAACACGATCTTTGGGTGCCTGGCTCACTGCAGGTCCCTTCCTGATGTTCCAGCCCTTTAAGCCACTTCTGCTCACTGTGTCCTGCATGCTGTTTTAGAAATCTACCTGTGCTACGCCCTTCCTTAAAGCACTTATAAAAAGGGTAGTTTCATCCTAATTCTTGGTATAGCAACATGAAGTTTATTTATGAAAATTGTATTTAAAAGTTTTAGAAAGTTGAATAACTTCTTGTTTGAATAAGAAAGATTTTCTGCTTCCTACTTGCCTTAAAAATAAAAGGAAAATCACATACTTCTGAGTTCAGTCCTGGTGTGCAAATAATTTTGAGTGTCCAAAATTCAAGTTTGCTTACTGAGTTATTATTGTGGTGGTGAATTTTGTGTCTAGTTTTTTGTATACCTATTCTGGTTACCTAGTGCCACTCTGACAAGAATATACCACAAATGGGATGGCCTTAACAAACAGGAGTTTATTCTTAAAATTTGGAGGCTTTAAGTCTTAAGTTCAAGTGCCAAGCTCTAGGGGCTGGGTGAAAACCCCTCAGCCTTGGGCTTCAGCTGTGCCTCCAGTTCCTGGCCCACTGAAGCTAGAGGCTTTTCTTCTCTCAGACAGCTGCTGGCCACTTTGGCTGACAAGCCCAACATTGACAAGTAAAAAGGCACAGTCCTGATGTTACCAAACCACACAGCAGGTCATTAATTCAAGTCAGTTGTAAGTCCCAAAGTCAGCAGAGCATGGCAGGCTGCTGAACAACGATACGGCTACATGCAGGGTCCAAGCATGCCATAAGCTAAGAGACCATTCCCTAAGGCTTCTCCTTATATACAGGAAGCAGACCACATTCCCTAAGGCAGCTACTCAGCTGCTCCCAGTAAATTCCACTGTGGAGTTGATTACCAGTCTCATCATGGGGAATACTGCATCCAGCTGCCCAGCCACTCAACCAGGCCTACCCAAGTTGACACATAAACTGAACTACCACAATACCTTTAATCCTTTCAAAGCAAAAGTGAGTTCTTAAAAAGAAAAATAAAAAAAAGAAAAACTGATGACAGGGCATAGTTTAATATAAAATATTATAACAGTATATATTAGAGCCCAAAAGGGTAAAATTGTGTTGACCAGTTGTTAACAGACTTGTGTGGTATTTTTGTTAAAAACATCAGACAATTCTTGTCTTTTTTGACTCATACATGACGATAATGTTCATCTTATAAACCCACCCTACATATGTTTTCTGCAGTATTATATATTCTATGTATGTATATAGGAGCTCTGGTAGCATAGTGCCTAACGCCCTTGACTGCTAACCAGAAGGCTGGCGGTTCAAACCCACCAGCCACTCCTCGGAAGGAAGGTTGGGCAATCTACTTCCATAGTGATACTGCCTCGGCAACCCAAGGAGGGGTCACTATGAGCTGGGGCCGACTTGACGGCACATAACAACAACAATGTATGTATACATAGGCTTATATATACATATATAATGTTAATTTGTATTTTAAAACTTACTTGGAGTTAATATCATAGTCATCTTTTTTAACTTGAGATAAATCATTGAAATGTCTCGAACCAGTATCTTCCACTAGATTTTCAACTTTAAAGGAGGTATTTGCATTATGTTATTGAAGTGTGAGATTTTTTTCTTTTGCATTACTTCTTCATTTAGAAAGTTTCCTAAGTTTATACTTCTAGAAAATTTTATATAGTAATATTTAGTTGTTAGAAAAATTTGGTAATAAATTAACTGAAATCCAATTGTGCTTGTATGGTTAAGTGTTCATTCAGTCCTTGCAGGGAATGAAATGATGCCCTAGGATTACTAGACATCAATCCTGCTTAATCTTCCTTTTATTTCTAATATTAGCCAATGAGAATTGATGTTGAGAATATTTTCATGAGTGTGATACTTGTAGGTTGAATTATATGAAGTTGTTGATGAGAAAGCAAATGAAATTACAAAGATACTGGTTTTAGTCTAATACTTAGTTTAGCAATAAGAGGTCTATTTATGAAAAAAGTGTCTAATTTTAGAAAGATGAATAACTTCTTGTTGAAATAAGAAAGGTTTCTAATTAACCAGATTAATCAATCAATCTAACTAATCTAGTCATACCTTATCATGCTCTTTTTGCATACAACTTGTAAAGCATTTATTTTTATAAATTACTTCTGAAAGACAGCTAATATGTTTTCTTTCCTTTTTTTTTTTTTGATTTCTAAGACTGCTGAAAAGTCAGGCCAGATTGAAAGGTCAAAGAATGTAAGGCAACGACAAAATGATTTTAAGGTAAGTTAAGAATAAATATGTAGACATTTTTGTAGGGTAGAATTTTCTCATCCAAAGTTGCTAGAAGATTTCCTCTATGTTGGACATATTCTTTATTGTTTAGAAACAGTCCTTTAGTTAATGCCATTTTAATACAATTCTGTTTGTTGATCAATTTTCAGAAAATGATTCAGGAACTAATGCACTCTCTTGTGAAGCTGACCCGTGGCGCCTTGCTTCCGTTCACCATCAGGGATGCAGATACGCGGCAGTATGGAGGCTGGGAGGGGAAGTCTGGCCTCTCTGGGCAGTGGCTTGCACATGCTGTCCAGACTGTAAGGTAAGCAAGAACACTTGGTCCTGAGCAGACGCAAATACTATTTGTCTTTTTGAAAAGAAGAACATACTCGGTATGGGATATGATTTTTAATACATTCAACAAAGAAGACATTTTACCTTTGATATTCTCTGCCCTTTTCCCTCCCCTGTTTTCCATTAATGATTATCTGACAACTAAACTCTTCCCAGTTTTAGGTGTGATGAGGATACTCTACTGCCTGTGCATCTATTAGTTCAGTATTGCTTCTATATTACTATAAAAATTGTGGCATTGAACCTTGTCATCTAACTTCACAAAGTAGATGAAGAATCATTATCAGTACCAACAGTCCAAGGCTGATTGCTGTGAGGTAGAGATCTCCATCTTCCATCCTTTTTACCAATTCTGATCACATCCATTCCTCCCCTGGCACTCTCTGCTTCTCTACTTTGTTTAATAATTCTTTTTTTTTTTTCAATTTTTATTATGATTTGCGTGAAAGTTTACAAAGCAAATTCATTTTTCATACAGCAGTTCATACACATTTTGTTTCATGACATTGACTGCATTTCCCCACAATGTAACAGGTCTCTTCCCACTTACTCCCTGTAATTCCCTCTTTCCTGTGTCCTTCTTTCCTGTGCATTCCTGCCTAGGGTTGCATAGTATTCCATTGTGTGAATGTATCAGTTTGGTTATCCATTCATCTGTTGATGGGTACTTAGGTTCTTTCCATCTTTTTGCTATTGTGAAGAGTGCTGTGAAAAACATGGGTGTGCATATACCTATTCATGTCCTGTAAACCAATTTTTTTTTTTTTTTAAA